GATACAATTATATACATAAAATATAAGAATCGATTGAATCGACTGTATTTATATTACTCCCTCTGTTCCTAAATATTAGTCGTTTTAGGCATTTTCACCAGGATTAAGAAAAGCAATTAATCACTCTCAATTTGAGCAATAAATATATTTAAAGTACTATTTTACCCTTTTTCCACTTCGATTCTTGCGTTTTACTGGTTCATCTTTGTGGGCCAAAGCCCCTATTTGCACTCTCCATTTATTTTTTTTCCGCGGTCAACACTTTTCAGAATTTTTTCTCCCTATTCACAACTTCCACCTTTCAAAACCCGTAAAAACCCCAACATTTTAACGGACCGTCACGGCACCGTTAAAAAATGCACTACGTGGCACCCAAAAATTGACGTGGCACATGCGGCGTTTCCTTATTCGTTAAATTCAGATGTGGATTTGCTTTTTGATGATGTGGCTTTTTTTCTGCACATGTGGACGCCACGTTTGCAGTGGGACCCACTGCACAGGACTTGTCCCTGCGTCCCCCCACCAAAAAAAAAAAAAAATTTGAACAGGAGCTCTGGGTTCCTCGCCGAACCCAGAGCTGGGTTCCTCAGCAGGAGGAACCTAGATCGGGTTCCTCCCGCTGGGTTCTTCCAGAGGAACCCAAATCAGTGAGGAACCCGATTTGGCCACTATTTGTTTCTTCTGGTTTTTTTTTCCCCTCAGAAGAAGAAAGTGACATTTAATACCACTTTTGCGAACTCAATAATAAATAAGTCATTAGGAACTAGGATTTAATATATATGTCTAGCATTTAAGAAATTTTATTCAGGTGATTTCTAGATAAGGTAAGTGAATTATATCTTTGGTTGTGTTACAATTATTTTGTGCAGCCTTTGTATCTGTTGGGAATTTGGTTCTGATCACCTAGCTTCTCTAAATTCAGAATTTTAATTGCTATTTTGGTGCTGATCAACAGCTTGCAACCGAGGAGAGCAAAAACTTCAGGGATCAGAACATATTTATAGTTTTGGTTCCAAATAAAGCTGTTCTACAAAAAGCTCAAGAACCTAGAAAGAAAAAAGATCAATCAACCACAAATGAAGTGTCGGCTGGCGTTTGAGTGCTACAGCTGCAATCAAGTCATAAAGAGAGCTTTCAAGGCACTAGGATCAACAGGCATGTACAACTTTTGTTCTTCAACTTTGTTTGGCAATCTCAGAAGTTTTGTATAGAATTTAATAGTCAATCGCATTCTGTGTGTCAAATCTTAGATAGCATTTTATTGTCATAAGCAATCTTTTCTGAATGAAATTGTTGTAGGTTCATATTTCACTGTCTGCAACTGAGCCAGAGCTGG